GGGAGCACGCCTGCACACACATACACACAACCGCGAACTTATTTATGTTGCAGCTTAAACTGACGTGGTTCATCGTGGGTGCACACGCGGTGTTCCTGCTTCAGTTAGCATCCATCCTAACCTGTTTTCACTTCCAAACGTTTTACTGGTTTTGTTTTCAAGCAGGGTTATTTCCGGGTGTGGCGCGCCAGGAGTCAGGTGATGACGTAGTGACGTCATCGGAACGTACTGAGTGTTCTCTATTAAATTATTAAATTGATTATTGTATTTTTGATTACAAGTTTATTTACTTTCCTTATTATTATGATCTGTTTTGTATCCTTTAATAGTTCATTTGAGTTAGAAGTAATTGTTGGTTTTGTTTGCTTGATTGGTCTTTCTGTGGGCGGAGCCTGTGGCTTTAAAAGCAGGGCTCTGCGCCACAGGGAGGCAGTCTGTGACTAGACTCCTGCCAGATCACAGCTAAGGTGATGGACTCTTACCTTGAAGGTACTGTTGTTTTGTCTGTTTTAACCTGCCTGGACGTCCCTGTATATATATTCTTCACCTGCCACCTTTTTGCTCACTTGAAGAATTGAATAAATTTCACTAAAGTGATCTCTGGCCTTGGGCAGTCATTTTTTGTTTGTCCAAGCATAAGAGAACCCCGTCACAGTGGCTGAGAAAGATGAAAGTTTCTTTGTAAAGAAGGTCAAGGCAGAAAACGCAGACATGATGAGTCACAGCAGGTCACATTGCACCATGTTTCGTGTAGCTCTTTCTATGTTATTCATAAAATAATAAAGCCGAAATTTAATATGCAAAGTCAATTAAACCTCCAGGGATTGTGCTCATCTATGTTGGTGCTGTGAGAAATCAAAGAACATCAGTGTCAATGTGGCATAGAGAGAGTAACACATTGACATCAAGATAACAGAGATTAAAATCTGCAGTTATTAATTGTATCTGTGCTAATAATGTGAAGCTACTTGCACAAAGGCAGCCATAAGTATACGTACTGCGCAATAACAAATCAAGGCTGTGCTACACCAACCTGATCCACATGAAGATCGGCCAGCAAGTTGTTCTGCACCGTATAACAAAGCAAACATGTTTTAATTTGACAGCAGCTCTTTGATTTCTACTTCTGTGCAAAGACAACCTATATCTCTGTGATTGTGATATGGTCAGATTTCTTTTCTTAACCCTGAGTTAAATTTTGTTATTTGGGCTCAAGAGCTAAAAGTGCAGCTCAAACTCTTTATTCACCTGAGAGAGGAAATATTTCAAAGTGAAACTTAAAGGGGCAGAATATTATATATTTTCCATGCACATGGTGCCATTTTAGATATGTCAAGTAACTAGTTATTAATACAGAGGCTTCAGACTATTGACTTTGTTAGTTTGACAATTATGTGACCAATAGGTTTCGGTATGTGCAAATCTGTCCATGTACTCTGTGGTGATCTGCAAAAACAAGTCACTGAGCAGGACAAGCTGGCTTAAGATCTATATGCTGCTTTAAAGAAAGGTCGACCCGCTCTCAACAGGAAACAGACAATTTCCTCTTAATATAGAGCGTAGGTCTGTGCAAAACCGCATGGGTTGGACGGTGTTGTGTCAAGAAGAGGAAGGTCTGTGTTTTCAGATTTTCTGCTGCTTAATGATGTTGTGGAGCTTTAAAAACCTGCAGGTCTGCATCTGCTGTAAGTTTATTTGGATTTATAAAATTACATAGGGTCTTGGCTAGAAATATTATTATGGTAATTTATTATGTTACATATAACAAATGGAGTAAGATATGTCTTAGGATGAGAGAATGGTTTGGCAACTTTAAGCAAAAATGCAGAAATGTACTGAATTGTCCAACTTTTACATATATTTAATGTTTTATTTCTTTTACATTTTTTATTACATTTGTTATTTTTACTGAATACTATTATTACTACTACTGCAAATTAAAATAATAATAATTAAAATAATAATAATAATAATAATAATAATAATAATAACTAACATATTTTTGACATATTTTAAAGTTATAAAATTCTTGAAGATGTTGACAGAAGCAATTAAAATCTGCTACCGAAGTTAAGGAAAACGACTGGACTTTGGGAGAATACTTTCAAAGCGCTGTTGCTGGTTGTAAACATTTATTTAAAGGCAGTATTACCTTGTTAATTACAGCATTTTGTTTTCAGACAAAACACACACTTTAGCACTATATCACTGAAACCATTCTAAAAGTGTGGCTTTTGAAAAAACATCCAGAAGACTGATGTCCTCTTTTATGGTGGTGAAAAGTTTATGAAATTTATCTCACAAGCAGTGTGATCAAGTATGGTTTTTAAACAGCTTCTCTTTTAAACTAAGTATTCACACCGTTAACCAGCCTAAACCTGTATGCATCTCTGCAGTTATTCTGATACCATGTTTTCTTCTCGTCACAGTTGCTTTATCTTGTGCAAGTAGTGCAGCAGCAGCAGTGATCCAAGTATCTGGGTATGAAGGCAAAACAGTGACTGTTCCATGTCCCTATGATGCTGGTTTTGAGTCCTATGAGAAATACCTGTGCAGGAGCGACTGTCGACAAGATGCAGATGTTCTGGTCAGGAGCACAGAAACTACAAAGGGCAGATACTCCACCATCGATGATAAAAAGAAACGTATTTTCACGACGGCCATTTCAAACCTAAGCTCTAAGGATGAGGGAAGATACTGGTGTGGCGTGACCAAGACTGGGTTTGACAAATATCCTTCAGAAGTCTCACTGGAAGTAAAGAAAGGTAAAAAGAAAATTAAATTATACATGTGGAGGGATGAAGATTGTTTCCTTGTTCTGAAGTTTGTGGCAAACAGTTTCAAAGATTTTAAAGAAATCAAAAACACTAAGCCATCTCACTAAATGGTTTACTAAAACATCTTATAAAAATATGAGATATTTTAACATAAATAAATGTCAAAATGACTCATTTAAACAAATAGAAAGAATGTTAGGAATGATAAAACAGGCTTTGTCCTACAGTATGTAGGAAAGTTGTGACATGAAACAGTTCAATTTCTGCACATCTCAGGTTTATAGTAGTTTTTTCCCAAACTTGAAGAGCACAGAAACTAAAGTTATTTATTTAATTTAATAAATCTTATTAATGGAACATTTAGTGGTTTAGATTTGTTGCTACATTGCAGAATTTCCCAATGCAGATTCAAGTCATCATTTAAAATGATGTGGAAATGTTGCATACATGTGCATAAGCAAAGCAATCCTCAGTTGCTGATATCATTCATTTTTATTTTCTAACAGAGTGGTGCTGTGTGAAGACCAACACGATGAGTGGGATTGTGGGACAACCAGTTACGTTGTCCTGTCCTTATCCACTAAAACACAGGAACAACAGGAAGTTCCTCTGTAAGGGAGACCACCATGACCACTGCACCGATGTGATGACAAGTGGAAGCAGGTTCACCCTCCAAGATGACGTCTCTTCAAGCTCTTTCTTGGTGATTGTCACAAAGCTGGAAGAAGGTGATGCTGGGACATACTGGTGTGGTTCAGATTCTACGTGGAGTCCTGAAAAATACACCAAAATTGAGCTGTCAGTAGGTAAGATCCTAGACAACAGGGGAAAACAAGGCAGATAAATCTTAGTTCAGTAAGGTTATGTTATGTTTTTACTTTCTAGCAGCAGAGATTTGCTAATCATATCAATTCTTTAGCTGCATTGCCACCAACAGATTATCAATACTAACCTTGGCTGTATGAACATATATTTCTACTATCTGCATCTCACACTGTTGCTTCCAGGCTGTAAAATAATCTCACTTTGGTGTGATTATTAATGATAACACAGCACCGCTTCTGAAACTGATGCATGGTCTGCACGTTGCAAAGAAACCTAAACTCTTGCAGCAACTTTTGGTCTCTGCAGTTTGCCTTCATCTACTTTGTAGATACTGACAGCTAAAATTGGCTCATGTGTGATAACTCGTCCTAAACTTATATTGTTCATTGACTGGTCATTAACTGTGTGTGAACTGATACTAACCATATACCAGTTGGTCTGAATGATAATATTTAAGTAAGCTTTATGAAATTCTATGTGAACTTTGTTTTTATTAACATAATCTTCTTGGAGCTGAGAGACATAGCTGTATTGCCTTCAATGACTTCTACCATCGTCTATTGCATTTAGCGATACGTCTGGAACAACACACGCAGACAACACACACACGCATCCTTGTTAATCTCCCGCAGGAGGCCCCAAAGTTTAGTGACTTGTGGGGCCCACCCTTTCTATATGTCTTAGATCTATGAAAAATATCAAGCAAGTCCCCCCCCCTCCAAAAAAAAAAAAAAAATTTCAATAAGCACAATTTGAAATTTTATTTTACATGTTAGTTTTTCTGTCACATGTGGGGCCTGTTTCTAACATTTATGCTTTGCAGGGTCCACCTTTACACACATGAGTTTTTAGTCTATTATGGGGCTTGTTTTTAATGTTCAAACCCTAACAGGCCCATCTTCACACACATACATTTTTGGCCAGTTAAGGGACTTGCTTTTAATATTTAACTCTTGTTACGCACGCTTTTGCATCAGAACTTGATGAGTGCAGATACTGGCCTGCATACGGTATCAGCATATGACCAATTAGACTGTGGTGCATGCCTGAGACCAGCCTAAGAAGATAAATATGTATACTAATATATATACATTAATTACTTTGCTCTTCCGTGAACACTGCTGCACGAAGCAGCAGTGAACGCTGCTTCATGCAGCAGTGTTCATGCTGCATGAAGCAGCCCACCGCTGTACAATTTTATATGTGGTCAAGAATGAATTAGACTTTGGCTTGTGAAAACTGATTCCAGATCCTTTCCTTGCACAGAAAGGTAGAAAGGTCTTGCCATTTTAATGTATCCTTTGGGGTTTAATTTTGTACTTATTTCCTATATTCGTTGTATCTGTACTTTAAGTTGCTGTTATTAGTTTTCCCCTGTGGATGGTAGTTTCCTTTGTTTCTAGCTCAATTCATCTGTGGTAATTAGTCTCTGTCCCTTAGTTCTCCTGTTCAGTACTGTCTTCTTCCAGCTGTTCCACACTCCTCTGCTTAGCTCACCTGCCATTTCCCCTCCATTTTTAGTTTTTAGCCATTTTTTCTATTTATCTGTTTTTCTGTGATAATAGGTACACAATGATTATCTTGCAATTAGGCAGAAAGGTATGTGGTCTTTCCTTTTTCACCGATGGACCAATTTATTATAAATCTACACTTTCTGCCTGACAGAGTGGTGCTGTGTGCAGACACACAACATATCGGCCAGTGTGTAGTTATGTCTCAGTTCAGCTGTTTCATACTTCTGTCAGGGGAAGTGTAGACTACTGGACTAGAACTA